TTGTTTCCTCTGTTCGTGCCACCTCCTTGTGATTGTTGATGATGAACGATTTTGCCATCGTTTTCTGGCGGCTTTTTTATTATTTTCTCTTCTTTGCATGTGGTGTGTGTGCGGCAGTTGGTGTACGAGTTCTTTCTTCGGTTCGTTGTTTCGACGGAGGTCAACGCGAAGGTGGCGAAGAAGTACATCGACCACAAGTTCTGCTTCCAGCTCATAGACCTCTTTGACAGGTGAGCTTCCGTAGGACTGCTGTACCAAATGTGCATCATCATTGCATGCTTTGTTTGTATGTTTTCACTCGAATGTTGACCACTTGGGAGAGATGTTTGGTGCTGGTCGCGGTAGCGCCTTCATCATTACTCTTGCTTTGTTCAGGTTCGATCTTGTTGGTTGGCTACTTGGCGACGTGCAGATATGGTGCGTGGTATGTTGTCGTATCTGGTCATGGCGTTGTATTGGCTTGAAGTCGTGTTTTTTTCACTGTTGAATTCCGTCGCTGCTGCTATTGTTGCATCAGTCCGCGGTGAAGGGTGGGTGTCTTCACACGTGCTGAGTTAGTTTACTATTTAGTGACAACGTGCCCAAGGCTGGCTTCCTGGCCAGATGCAAACCCCAATAACTCATGTACAATGGCGACGTTGGCTCAATAACCACATGCAGCATGCGTTAATCCACTGCATGTGTTGCGGAGTCTGTCCCCCTGAGGAGGTGAAGATTGTATGGATATATATATTTTTGTTGCTAAATTATTTGGCCGTTATTTCTGCCCTACCATTTGTCTGGGCCCTTTATGTGCCTCTGATTTTTCGTAACACGTATGTATGTACCCTGTTTGGGTAGTTGGCAGTTGAATCAGTACGGATGGTACAAGGTCGATATACGAAGACCACGGGTTGGAATAAACGGCACTAGTCTAGTGCTGTGAGCGCTGATTTGAAGTGAAGAACAAAAAAATACGAAAGGGACTGTTTTAAATGTCAAGACAACAACAGCCTTTTTAACCGCGGGTCTACCTAAAGATTCTTACTTGTTTTTGACAAAGGCTGATCAATTGGGTTGATTGATGGATGAACGGGTGGATCAATCGCGCGAAGCTGTTGTACGCAACATTTCGGTGCCTTGGTTTTGCAGTGGTTGTGATCACTTTCCCGAATCACGCATGCGATCTGTTATTTCCTCTGAACCCTCCCCCCCCGAAAATTGATGGTTCAACTACTGTATTCAGCGAGGACCCCCGCGAGAGAGACTACCTGAAGACTATCCTCCACCGAATCTACGGGAAGTTCATGAACCACCGCTCACACATCCGGAAAACGATCGGGAACGTCTTCTTCCGGTTCGTGTACGAAACGGAACGTCACAACGGCATCGGTGAGCATAGATTGATGTTTTTTTTTTTTCTTATTATGACACAACGAATCTATCCCTATCATAGAAAAGAGTCAGAGACAGATGAGCAATTAATTTATAGCGTCAGAAAAAGCTACCTGTATGTCTCTATGATTTCCCAGACAGCAAATAGGAACATCTCCCCTGCGGGTAACAGGCTCAACAAAACAGTTTGGTAGCTGTCTTGTGTGTCTCATATATGTTATGTTGGGAAGTTTTTTCTTTTTTGCGTTTCGTCCCTGCCGGTTCGTGTACGAAACGAAATGCCACAACGGCACCGGGTGAGCGCACATGTATTGCTTGTTTGCGGCAAGGTGTTTCTTCGTTGAATTCAACGGTATCGGTGAGAGCATTTGTATTGGTTACTATTCGTCTTAACGTGGTTTCTTTGATACATCAAAAATGACCATTTGGCAGCTTGGTTGAGAACGGCTAATCCGCTGTGGGTTTTTCTCCCTCATCTCTTTCTCTTTTAAACGTTTTCTGTTGTTCAATGCTTCTGGGACGTTGGACGGACGGCGTCCCCCCCTCTCTGTGTCTTGCCTTCCTTTTCTCGTCCTCCTTTTTTCTTTGTCTCTTTGGTACGTGTGTTTATTTACGACTGATTTCTTTCCTTCTTTTTTCCCGTTGACGCGGTCGTGATGAAAATTCAGGGGAACTGCTAGAGATCTTGGGTTCGATCATCAACGGGTTCGCGATCCCATTGAAGAAGGAGCACCTGCTCTTCCTTCAGAAGGCGCTCATCCCCCTGCACAAGCCCAAGTGCGTCTCCCTCTACCACCAGCAGCTGAGCTACTGCATCGTGCAGTACGTCGAGAAGGATCCAGAGACGGTCATGCCGGTGCTAAGGGTAAGCCTGCGTTTGGCGGTGGCCGTGTTGGGTGTTGTTGTTGGTGCTGGTGCGGAGGGTAAGCCTTCGCCTGGTGTTGCCGTTGGTGTTAGTGGATGTTGTTGTCGTCGCTCGGTTTGTCGGGCGGCTACCTTGTTGTTTTTGTTCACAGCGTGGTACGCGATTTCGCCAATGTCGTTGGTTCGTTTTTGAATCTGTGGTGGTGGCGGTGGTATTTAGTGTTTTCTGCTCGGCTTGTCGGTCGGCTGTCGTGTTGTTACTGCTTCCTGGCAGTACTTGCGGTACTACCATTATTGTCGTTGGTTGTCGTTGGTTGGCTGTCGATGATGATGGTGTGGTGGTGGTGATTTGCCGTGCTGTTGTTGTTGTGGGTGCGGGTCATCATAGGGTGTGGACCCGTCAGCTGCCATGGGCAGTGCTCAGTCCGAGTGCCTGCCGGACTGCAGAAACCAATCTCCGCCTGACTGTTGTTGGTCTGTTCTCTCTTCTTCCGCTGTCTTTCGTGAACTACTCGCCAGGGGCTGATCCGGTTCTGGCCATGGAGTTGTTCCTCGAAGCAGGTGCTATTCCTCAACGAACTGGAGGATGTGTTGGAGCTACTCATGGATGAACAGGTGTGTAAACGTGTTTTTTTTTCCATGTTATTAGCATGGACAGCGCCAATCGGCTGAACAATGGGAAGACGTCAGTCTCAGTGCGGTTGAAAACAGAAAACGGTTCTCAAGACCTTCATCTGGGACCCCGTGAGGGGGCGTCATGGGCGGAGGCTGAGCTACATACTCTTCGGATTGGAGACAGAAACGGTGCAGTAGCTACAGAAAGAACCGCACATGTGTGTCCGTCCCGTCATATGCATGTTGGCACCAGTTTGTTGTACTCGCCTTTGGGTGAACGTCTTTGACGTTGTGTATCAGCCGGGGTCACACAGGAGCGTTTTTTTTTTTCCCTTTTTTTGTTTTTCGTGCCGAGCCTCCCTGCGGTTCTCGCCACGTCTTTCGTGCTCCATCTACTAGGCTCGAGGTCGCGTGTTGGATGCTGTTTATTCGCGCAAAACATGTCGTTCCTCGCCTCATTGCCTTCCCCCTCTGGGGGCTAAAGGGGGCCCTCTGGGGGCTGAAGGGGGCCATGCATACAAGCAACCTGGTTCCAATTGAAACTGTAGCTCCGAAGTAATCAACAAGACATTTTTGCTCTTGGTTTATTGCGAAAAGAGCATTGCATGAGTATAACAAGAGTTACAACGCACGTTTTCGTTCTATTTTTTTTTCTTCTGTTCGTGCCCGCTGTTTTTTTGTTGTGTGTTGTTTCTTCTCAGCTTCAGCAGGTGCACGACAAGCTTTTCCACCTCCTGGCGCAATGTCTCGCAAGCCAACACTTCCAGGTGAGAAAACGTGCACGATAGATGTAAGGGGAAAGAAAGAAATAGACGAAACAGCGGAGATGATATCTATCATCAACGATTGCATAAATAACTTGAAATATTATATCAACGTTGCCCGTAGAATCGTGTCCAAGAAGTTGAAGCCCTTGGTGTGTAGAAGCGGTTGGTGTAGAAGTCGTCCACACCAGATTTGGAGGTGACGCGCGGAAATCGAGCACCCAAATACGTGATTTTTTTACGAACGCGGCAGGTGGCGGAACGGACGTTGTTTTTGTGGAATAACGAGCACTTGGTGAGCAAGGGCTGCTTCAGCAGGGGATACACACACTCAATACTGCCAGTCATCTACGGTAAGTGTCAAATGGTGGCCTACTAGTATATTGTATATTGTGTCTGTCTTCATCTTTTTGAGCTCAATAAATGTCTCCTTGTGTGATTCTTGAAAATGTCGCAAAAGCCTCCCCTGTCTGGCCTGGTCTTGTTCTTGTCCTCGAACTGAATCAGTCGACTAGGTATGTAGCCGGCGTGTATTTTGTGTGGTCTGCTGTATGCATAATTTTTACGGGAAAAGTTGCGGTCTGCTGTACAGTGGGGGCCCCGGTTTAGCGACCCCCTAGTGTCACGACGAAATGTGGCCGCTATTCAGGGCAGTATGTACCGGGGTGCGGCAGTGCCACGTGTTTTTGTGGCCGCTGAACAGGGCATGTCGCTATACAGGGGGTCGCTAAACCGAGCCCCCCACTGTATGCACATTTTGTACGGGAAAAATTGTGGTCTGTTTGTATGAATCTTTTTTACGGGAAAAAAACGGCGTTTTCGTCTTGCGTCATTGTCCGTGCTGCGCATTGTCAGTCGAGCAGAGTGACGGGTGGAGAGGGTGACCCACACAGATTTGAAAAAAAAAAGTAATGTTGTTGGCGTTCCTTTGTGCTCCCTAATCTCGGACTCGCACGGCTATTTCTACTGCTGCTACTACGACTGTTCTTGCTGCTGCTGCTGCGTGTATTTCGAGCGTTCTGGTTGCTGACACTTTTGGCCTGTCTTCGGCCTATGTATGCGATGTGTGCGATGCACGATGCAACCGCAGGCCCCCTCCACAAGCACTCGCTGGGGCACTGGAACAACACCGTGGAGGGCTTGGCGCAGAACGTGCTCAAGATGTACATGGAGTTCGACATACATCTCTACGATAGGTAAGAGAGGACCCCCCGCCAATCCAGACGTTTTCGCCTTTCGTGATACAGCAGCAGTACCGGGTAGGGCTTGTGGTAGAGACTTGTTTCAGGAGGCACGAAGATAAGTAGAGTAAAGGTATCTTGTCTCGGCTGTGAGTAATGTACATGGTATTTTCATGGTACGGTTTCAGAGAAACCCGAATTTCAACGGGTGTTTGTGTGGCTTGTCTCGGCTGATCCCGACCTTCTGTAAATTCCGTAGCCGATATTGCAATGTCTTGTCCGTGTGGTTTTGGTGGATGGGTCCGATGTGCACCTATTTAGCTCTGTGACAGGACAGGTCGGTGTCTTATCACGGCGGTTTCGTCGGCCTTAAGTACTGTGCCGTTGTTGTTGTCGTCGTTGCCATGTTTTCCTGTTTTTGCTTTTATTTCCTTTTTTCTTTACTCTTGCTGCCTGCTGCTGCTGCTGCTGCTGCTGCTGCTGCTGCTGCTGCTGCTGCTGCTGCTGCTGTGTTCAGTATTGTTTTGCTCCTGATGCGGCTTCTCCGTTGCTATTGTTGTTTTTGGTCCAGGGTGCTGTCGGAACACCTTAAGCTCGAGGCGGAGGCGGCGCAAAGGAAGGAGGATGCCTGCAAGAAGTGGGCGGTGAGAATTGTGAAAAGAAAAAATAATCGTAGCTCAGTTGGGAGAGGTTGCACGGCCGCCGTTTCTCTCTAAGCCTGTCCTCGTCCTGTGGCCCGCGCACCCATTTTTTCTCAACACAACATATCAACATTTCGCCGTAGTTCTACCTGTTTCCGCGAAAAGCCATAAAATTCACAAGTTGAATACATGTTGTGTGTCTTTTACTTCGTACGCTTTGTGAGGGCAGACGGACGCAAGGTATCGATAGCACCGAAACAGGCAGAGCTGGGCGCATTGCCACTACTGACAGAGTGTGGACCGATTGTCGATGATTTTGTCGCGATTCTTTTCTTCATTTGAAGAGCTTCTTTGACATGTTTGGTTGGATTTCGGCCTCTGTGTGTAGTTGGTTTGGCTGCTTGCCATAGCAGTGCGCCACCAGCAAACTTACTCAAGTCCTTCCGCCGGTGCTCCCTCCTGCTGCCTGCCGTTGCTGCCAATGTTTTCTCTTCTGTCTGCTGCTGCTGCTGCTGCTGCTGCGTTACCACTATCTTATGGTGTCCTTTGGGCACGGTCGTGGCTCCTGCCGACTGCATCTACGGTATCTACGCTGCGTTTCTACGTACAAAATATATCGTCAGGTGTTGGAAGAAAAGGCTCTTTCAAAGTGAAAGGACTCCCCTCTCCCCTGTACAAGGCCCAACTCCCCGCCACCGGTACCATTTGTGTGTCCCCCCATGACGAAAGAGTGCACCATGGGGCTGTGGTTTTATTTATTGTTCATGCTGATGCCTCCCTCCCTTTTGATGGTTGAATCCGGTGCGGTTGTTGGAATCTATCTCTCCCGCCGGAGGTTGGTTGCTTCTTCCCCACGGTTTACCCACATGGTACGGCTTAGCACGATTTCCTTGTGATTTGCTGCTTGTCCGAGCGCGGGGAAAGGGGTGGGTTAAATCACCTGCTGCGGGCCCCCCGCTTGCGACAAGAAAGTGCCAAAGAGCGGGTTGAATTTTGGCGGAAGCTGGAGGAGTCAGGGCTTGAGAGCGAGGGAAAGAACTAGGGCGGCGGTGGTGGCCTTGGAACCGACGCTCTTTCAGCGTCGACGTTATTGGCTGAAAGCTCTTGCACGGCCGATGCTGTTGGCGGAAAACAATCTCTCTTCTCATCATTATCATCATCACACGGCGGTTGCATGGGCCCGTGCCATAGTGTATTTTTTCGGTATCCTAGAGAGCGTGTCGATTGCGGGCGCGCGCGTTCGCGTTAGGATTTACGTAGAACCGAGCGGTGGATCCCCCCCCCCCCCTGTAGCGGTGGTTGACCATCGGCGGCGCCCCCCAAAACACCGGCGGTGGTGGTAACGAGGAAGCCCTCGGCTGTTGGTTGACCGCTGTTTTTGCTGCTAGTATTTGTGTCGGCAACCGCAGGCCAAAATAGGTCGCTGGGGTTTGCCCGCTCAGGGGCTGGTCGACCTTTTTCGGACCATTGGGGCAGATGACCGTTGGGCAGACGATCGGTTGTTTTTGTCCGTTGGCAAGTAAATCCAGACAGGCGCTCTTTTCCCGCTATAGCACTGCTGTATTGGCGGTCTTGGTGAGCAAGCGTGAGACCCGTAAGCTGGTTGTCCGCTCGCCGATGCGATGGAGGCCACTTTTGAGCACTGATCAGATGAAAGTGGATGGATTGATATGGAGGGGGGGTGGGGAGGGTGGCCTTTCTGGAAGGGGGTAGACAGATTGTTGTGTCGTTGTTGTCGTTGGTTGTCTCTGTTTCGACCGTCATCGTCGTCGCTGTCATCATGGTCGTCGTGGTTGCGAGATAGAAGAAGCGAGGGTGGAGGCTCGTTGTTATCTACGACACGATGTGTGAAGTGTGGGTCGGGAATAGGAGGAGGAGGAGGCGAGGTTGCGTCTTCTATGCTCGATTCGATAGATGTTCGACAGACGTGCGGATAAAAAAAGTTCTTGGTTTGCTTGTCGTCACAATAGTCGTCATGACCGAACGATCGCTTTTGGCTGTGTTGTTTTTGGTTTGCGGATGTGTAATTCGCGATACTTGTAGAGTCCGGTGATATTTCCATCGCGGCGAGAATGATAATATGAAACAGGTGAACAACAGAGAAGCAAAAGGGGGGGGGGGGGGGG